CTTTCTATTTTTTAGTAGAGACGGGGTCTCGCTCTTGCTCAGGCTGGTCTCGAACTCCTGACCTTGAGCGATCCACCCACCTCGCCCTCCCAGAGTGCTAGGATTACAGGCGTGAGCCACCGCGCCTGGCCTACTTTATAATTTTTTAAAAGACCTAGGTAAATGAATCTCTCCTGCAGGTTGCCCAGCCCTTATTAGATAGTAGGAGATCTTTTAGCTGTGTGGGGATTTGAAGAGTTGGCTGAGCCGTGAGACAGGCAGTTAAAGATGGAAGCGCGTGAGCAGCCCTCCCTGGACTGGCTGCAGGACAGTGTCTTGGATGCACAAAAAGAACGTGAGGCTCAGAGGGTGGCCAAGGCCTGGGCTGATGTCCTGTGTCGCAGCGGACGTCCCAGCACACGGAACGGGGCAGTCGCTGCCTCAGCCCGCTGCTGAGGGGAGCCCGGCCTGTGTGTCTTCCAGCATGAGCTGGCTGCCACGGCCCCTGGTGGGTGATTCACTTGCGGCTGGGTTACTCGTAAATTACTGGAAAAGTAGGCTGTTCAACCAGTGTCTGTTTTATTGACATATATAGTTCAGAGTGAACATTTTTGTTAGAATTTTAATCTAGATTATTTAGAGATGGTTTCTAGGGTCTCGATTCCCACACGCAGACCCAGATACTGTTCCAGGAGACGTGCTAAGAGATCCGCAGGAATTCAGATTCTCAGGCCCCCACCCCGAGGTCGCATTTCCCTCGTCTGTGCCGCGGCGCTCACTGGCGTGGATCACGGGTCTGGGGCGCGTGTCCCGCAGGTGTGCTTCAGCGCCTCCTTGCCATCGAGAGATACTTGGATGACGTGTGGCGCTCCAGTGTGGCGGCACAGCCCAGGGCAGTCTTCGGGGACCGTTGCGTGGTTGCTGGGCCAACGATGGTGTTGGCGTCGTTTGAGTCGCATGCGTCTCTTGGAGGCTGACATGATCTGTGTCTGTCGCTGCGCGTATGTTTTTCGACCCTGACAGCTCTGTGCCTTCTCCCCACAGGAGGACGCGCTCTCTACACGGGCCCTGCCCGGTGACCACCTTTGGACCAAAGGCCTGCGTGCTGCAGAACCCCCAGACCATCATGTAAGTGCTGGGGCCACGGGTGGGCGAGGCCTGGGGAGAGTGCATGGCGGGTGAACTGCTGGGGAGGCTCCGCTCTCGGGGTCAGGAGTGGTGTTCTAGGTCATTTCAGCAAGAAGCCACGTGGGGCTGGCGCGGTGGCTCATGCCTGTGATCCCAGCACTCTGGGAGGGAGGCCGAGGCGGGAGGATCGCTTGAGGTCAGGAGTTCATGACCAGCCTGGGCAAGAGCAAGACCCCGTCTCTACTAAAAATAGAAAACTTAGCCGGCTGTCATGGTGCGTGCCTGTAATCCCAGCTACTCGGGAGGCTGAGGCAGGGGAATGGCTCCAGGAGCATAAGGCTGCAGTGAGCTGCGATGACACCATGGCACTCTAGCCCAGGTGACAGAGTGAAACTCTGTCTCAAAAGAAAAACAAAACCACATGGTCGTCTTCACTGGACCCGACTGAGCGGGGCCTCTACTCGGGCACTGTCCACCACGGGCTTCTCCAGGGCCTTCGAGTAAGTGGATGGCAGACAAGCCGGGGTCGTGTCCAGTGGACGACAGGTGGCCCGGGGACCCTGTCACAGCCATGGCCCCAGGTCTGTGCCTCAGGCGTGGCAGTGTTGGATGCCCATGGCCATAAAATACTGAGAGTTACTGTTTCTGACAGTGACAGCTCTGGGGAAAACTGCTCCATTTTCAAAAACTTGGTCCTTTAATTATTCCAAAGACATAGAAGCATGAATCAGCTTTTTATTAAATCTGATTTTCCTTGTTTTCAAGATACCCGTCCTTGTGGTGCTGCCTTCTCGGGGCACCTGAGGAGGTGGCATTTCTGTGGCCCCTCGTCTGGCCTCAGCGTCTTTCATGGGAGCGTTGCCATCACGGTGCTAGAACTATTTAACTTAACAGCCAGTGTTACTTCACTGTACTCTTTATCCTCAATAACTCTCCGTCAACTCAAGTTCTTTTTAGCATTTGATGGCTCCAAAAGGGTAAAGGCTTAGTTAACAGGTTGTGTTTTATGGGGGAAAAGCACTGCAGTGACCTAACATTGATACTTTGTGTTTTAAAAAACTCAGAGTTTGGGCTGGGCGCGGTGGCTCACGCCTGTAATCCTAGCTCTCTGGGAGGCCGAGGCGGGCGGATCGTTTGAGCTCAGGAGTTCGAGACCAGCCTGAGCAAGAGTGAGACCCCGTCTCTACTAAAAATAGAAAGAAATTAATTGGACAACTAAAAATATATAGAAAAAATTAGCCGGGCATGGTAGCGCATACTTGTAGTCCCAGCTACTCGGGAGGCTGAGGCAGGAGGATCGCTTGAGCCCAGGAGTTTGAGGTTGCTGTGAGCTAGGATGACGCCATGGCACTCACTCTAGCCTGGGCAACACAGTGAGACTCTGTCCCAAAAAAAAAAAAAAAAAAAAAACCTCAGAGTTCGCCTCAGCTCTGAGTTTTATTCTGCACCTTGTGAGTGTCCTCCACACCCTGCTGCAGAGGAATCTGCTCTTTGTGTGCCTGGGACGGGTGTGTCATCCCGAGGGCCTTTGTGCAGAACACCCCACCCCGGGACCTCCTTCGGGGTCCTGGACCTTCGCGTTCTGCGAAGGACAAAGCCCATGCAAGTGCCATGCGCTTGGCTGTGGTCCTCCAAGGGGCCTTGGTGACCAGGAGGGATGTTGTCGTGATCGTCGGGGGAAAAGAACTTGCGAATGAAATGGAAAAGGCCGTCTCACTGCTCTTTGATGGGCAGGCGCCGCCCCCGCCCGTGGCAGTGGGCCCTTGCTGGAGGTCAGCTTCAGGGACAGCAGTGGGACCTGTTCTGCCATCTGAGGACCTGCTTCGCTGTGCCCGGCGGCAGCATGAATCCCAGTAACGAGGGTGCTGAGCTCTGCTCCCCTCTGACAGGAGGGCAGCCCTTTAGGGCTCTGGCATCGCGTTTTTGAGGCAAAACCTGCCCCGTGCCTGCTGGTTCCAGGAGCTGTCGGATCTGTCTAGTTACAGCTGCCAAATGGCGGGACCCATCCAGTCCATCCACAGATTCCATCATTTTGACCCCAAACATCCACCCAAGCACTTATTCTGTGACCAGGCCGCCCCTCCCTTGAGCAGACTCCTGACCGTCCCCCATGGCCTCTGCACAGCAGCCCCATGGGCCCCTCTGCCTCTCCCTGCCCCGCCTGGCGGCCAACTCCTGCCCGTCCCGAGTCCTCCCGCCTTCTGCGTTTGCACCACTCGCCCCACCTGGGCCTTTCCCCTGCGGCCTGGGCCCCGCCCTCTGCTTCCTGGTCTCGGCCTCGCTGCTCCCTCACATCTCGCTGAAGTGCCACCTTGAGTGGCCTCTCCGGCTGCCCAGCCTTTATTGGCCGTCAGTTCCTGGGGGCCAGACCCAGGACCGTGTCGGGGGGATGTGTGTGTTCTGCTGCTGCCCTCAGGCTTGGCCACAGGACGGCCTCGGTGCTGCTCCCCAAGGTCAGACCGCCGCAGCAGAAGCACGGTGAGGCCGGCCGGGGGCAGTGCGGAGGGAGGGCGGCCTTCCCAGTCCGCACTTCAGGGAGCCCTGGTCTCTGGGGACGTAACCTGAGGGCAGGATGCTGTCATCCACTCCAGTGTGCGCCCTCCCCAGTGGCTCCTACGGTCAGGGCCGGGGCTTCCTGTGTGTTTAACCTGCATCTTCCCTGACACTCTTAAGTAAGATACTCTAGAGGGCTTGATCACGAGGATCTTGCACTTCCAACTTTACTGTCTGAGATTTTACCATGAACACGTGTGTTTTGTTAGTTGAGATGTGAAGAAATTGCCAGCTCTGACGGTCCACGGGGTCTCCCTCAGCTGTCCCAGGTGGGCCGGGTGTCCTGTACCCACAGCCGTGGGCTTGGAAGGGGTAGCATTCCCACTCGGCAGGTGACCTAACAGGAGGTTGAGGAACAGGTTTGTGGTCACTCGGGTTGCCGCCCAGGCCTGCGCAGGACGGCACCCTGGCGGCTCAGGGCCCATCAGCAGTGACTCTTGGGAGCCAGAAGAGTGTGCGCAGGGCAGCTTTGCTGTCCGACCCAGCCAGAGGGCTGCAGAGTGCCTGCACGCCCTCGAGGCCTGTAGCCAGACAGAGTAAACAACCCTTCACCTGGCCATGGCGTGACAGCACCTCCCACGGCGCCAGGCCGGTTCCACAGGCCGGGGCAGCGGCTGGCAGAGGCTGGACAGCCGGGGCCCTCGGGGCCCACCGAGCTCAGTGAAGAGCAGGGAGTTGAAGCTTGGCTTCTTTGATGTCGAAAGTGGCCCTGACAACTTTCAGCAATAAGGAGGCTGTTCTGTTGTGTTAGAGTTTTATAATTTGAGGAAGTTCTTTTGACCCAGTTGCTTTCATAACACCGTTAACAAGTCACTCTACGATCGTGTTTTGCTTTCAGTCTTGAGGATGCAAAAGTTGGGTTTATAGCGTAAGTGCACAGCGGGAAGGTGCTGGTGGGGCAGGGCCACCTCGCACTCCTGTCGCTAGCGGAACATGACTGTTGTTGGGGCACACCAGCTGCCGCCAGGAGGTGCAGGCCGCCTCGCAGGGGCACGTGTGACTAGAGCAGGCGAGGAGCTCGTGGGGTGTCACGGGTGACCCTCGCCTCCCAGACACGCCTGGAAAGGGTGGGTTCTGGGACCAGCCTCCATGGTGGTCATTGCCGGGCGAGGTGGACGCTCCGCTGCGGCGTCAGCAGCTTGCACTCACCACAGTTTGGAAGTTGCTCGTGGGCCTGTCGGGCTCTCGGAAAGCTCTGCCCTGGCAAGGCCCTTCTCGCAGCAGGTTTCTCAACTGGGGAACTTGCGCCCGCCGCGTGCGCTGCAGCTTTAAGGGCTCCCCCAGTGGGGCTGAGGGACGGCTGATGGGTGGCCGCACCCACCCTCCTGCAGGCTGCCCAGAGCCTGTTCCGGGTTGTTCTGGGCCGGCCGGGCTGTTTTCCTTTTTTTTTTTTTTTTTTCTCTTTTGAGACAGAGTCCCACTCTTTTGCCCGGGCTAGAGTGAGTGCCGTGGCGTCAGCCTAGCTCACAGCAACTTCAAACTCCTGGGCTCAAGCAATCCTCCTGCCTCAGCCTCCCGAGTAGCTGGGACTACAGACATGCGCCACCATGCCCAGCTAATTTTTTCTATATATTTTTAGTTGTCCGATTAATTTCCTCAGGCTGGTCTCGAACTCCTGAGCTCAAACAATCCGCCCGCCTTGGCCTCCCAGAGTGCTAGGATTACAGGCGTGAGCCACCGCGCCCGACCGGGGCTGTTTTTCTTGATTTACAGAGAAATAGGAATCACAGCTGAGTGGGCCGTGCCTTTGGAGAAACACCCCGACCCCGGGCACGGTGGTGGCAGCGCCTCAGAGGGTCTGAGCCTGCCTAGCGCAGTGACACGTCAGGGGCCTTGAAGCTTGAAGCTCGCAGGGTGGCTGTTCGCGGCAGCACTGCCACTGGCTTTTAAGCCATAGATTTGTTGTAAAAATCCAGGGCAAACTATGCTCGCACAGGGATGTCATCGTGTGAGCAGCACACGCCCCGTGTGCAAGGCAGGAAGCGCTTGTCCTCGGGGCCCGGCTCGCGTGGGACCAGAAGCCGTGTGGAGTGGGTCGTGGGGGCAGAGTCCCCGAATCGGCTGGTGTGGGTTTTGTGGGGAGCGTGGCGCACTTGATGGGCATGGGGCGGGCGCCAGGCGGAGAGCCTGGCCTTGGGCTTCCTGGGCTGCCCTGTGAGCTCTCGATGCCAAGGAGCCGTCGGGGGGCACCACTGCAGCCTCAGTGAGGTGCCCTGAGCAGCTGAGAGACCGGGTCTTCACCGTGGAGCCCACTGGCCCGTGGCCGGGGCTTGTCGTGGCCCTGGGGCTCCAGTGCCACCTCGGCCCTCATAGTGACCACTGCTGAGTGTTTGTCCAGGACTCAGACACACGTTTTTTTTGTTGTTTTGTTTTTTTGTTTTGTTTTATTTGAGCATATTATGGGGGTACAGATGTTTAGGTTACGTATGTTGCCCTTGCCCCCCTCCCCCCCAAGTCCGAGTTTCAAATATGTCCATTCTTCGGGTGGTGCACATTGCACTCTTTCTGTATACATATACCCGTCCCCTCCTCCCTCCTTCCAGACACACGTTTTTAAGGATTTTATTTTTCTTTTCTAAGTCCTGTGCGTTTTTTAAGGGAAAAGTCACTGCTGGTGTGAACTCTTCTCTCCTCCCTGAAAGGCACATTCAGGACCCTGCGAGCCAGCGGTTGACGTGGAACAAGTCTCCCAAGAGCGTTCTGGTCGTCAAGAAGGTCCGCGACGCCAGCCTGCTGCAGCCGTTCAAGGAGCTCTGCACGTACCTCATGGAGGCAAGGGGGGGCCTGGGCCGGTCGGAGGGAACAGGCGGGACACAGCCCACGCCTGCCAGGCGTCCTCGTCTGCTTGTGCTGCTGGAACCACAGCCTGGTGACTTGCCGGGAAGTCCAAGACCAAAGGGCCACATCTATGGGGGCCCCTGGCTGCGTCTCCTCCAGGGGAGAGAGAGGGCCCATCGAGGGGGAACCCTCAGCCTCGTCCTCCTCTGAAAGGCCCAGCTCTTAATCCTGTTACTCTGGTGGTTCATTTTCACCGGGACTTTGGGAGGGAGGTACCTTTCGACCTGGTCTGTCTGCAGACCCTAAGTCAGCGCCCAGAGCAGTGAGACCACCGCCCTGGCAGCCAGGCTCACGGAGCCTCCGGCAAGGCAGGAACTGCAGCGAAGTGAGCAGATTGGGCCTGATTTCCTGGCCAGGAAAGTGTAGTCATTTTTCACCCCTTTCCCCAAATGCAAAGACCTAAAAGACCAGCGTGATCGGACTGGGAGTTGGCGGGGCCTACCTGGCTCCCCAGGGCTCACACGCACACCTGATTTCAGGAGAACAACATGGTCGTGTATGTGGAAAAGAAGGTGCTAGAAGACCCTGCCATCGTAAATGATGAAAACTTTGGGGCAGTGAAGAAGAAATTCTGCACTTTCCGCGAAGGTACGTTATCTTCAGCTCTGTTGGTTTATTAGGTGTAGCTCCCTGTCCCTGGCGGAAGCTTCTAGCATTCTTGCCCTTGGCGTCCATGTACTGCGGTGTGGAGGGGCTGACGGGCGGTGGCTTTTTCTTGGTTTTGTTTTTATGTTTTGCAGATTACGACGACATTTCCAATCAGATAGACTTCATCATCTGCCTGGGTGGGGACGGGACCCTGCTGTACGCGTCCTCGCTTTTCCCGGTGAGACGTGAGCAAGGCCAGGAGACGCGTTCGGGGGGTGGGTGTCGTTTCTCCTCTTCGTCGCGGAGCTTCATGCCGGAGGGGCGAGGAGTTTCTCCGTGTCTCGCTCTGATCCAGGCTGATTTTTTAGTTCCGTTATTTAGCAGCAGAGTGAGTTTGCACGTGATGCCAGGTGCGGCTGTGAAGGCCGGGTGGCTGTGGGCCCGGGCGTGGCTTTAGCTCCACAGACAGATGACGTCCCCGAGCGCTGGTGCCCTGTGGCGGAGTTGGGGAGCACCGAGGGAGCCCTGCCCTGGACCCCGGGCGGCCGTGGGAGCTGCGAGGTGGCCCCCGCCCAGCCATGTTAGAGTTCAGGGTGGAGGCCCTGGGCAGCTGAGGGTGTGGCCACTGGGCAGCATTGCCTGGGGCCACCAGGAGCCTCCTCAGCAGAGAGCGAGGGGTGCAGGGCGGCGGGTCCCAGAGGGGAGTGGCCCACGCACACTGGCCCAGCCGCCCTGCCTGGGGCCCTGATGCTGCTCCCTGCCCACCACAAGCAGGTGCCGCCGGAACTGCCCCGGCCCACCCTCGCATTCCCTCTGCCGTTGGGCGAGGGGCTTTGGCCATGGAGATCGCCCCCACCCTGCAACCCCCGGTCTTTCCTGTCCACGGGGACTGGCCGGTCCGCCCCACTGCTTCTGTTTCTCGCCACCTCTCCCACTGGCCCTGCCTGGCCCACGCTCCACACGCGGGGTCCTCCACCTCTGGGTGGGGCTACGACGGCCCCACCTGACACTGGCCCTGTGCTCACTGGCCTTTGCGGCCCCTTGGCGGGAGCTGGGGTGCCCTACAAAGCTGGGTCCTCGTGGGCAGGCCCCTCCCGAGGGTCTAGTGCTATTGACAGCTCGGGTGGATTTGAGGGGACCGTGGGTGCTGAGTGACCCCCGTCGGCCCGCAGGGCAGCGTGCCTCCAGTCATGGCTTTCCACCTGGGCTCCCTGGGCTTCCTGACGCCATTCAACTTTGAGAACTTTCAGTCCCAAGTCACCCAGGTGATAGAGGGTGAGTTGGAATGTTCTGGAACCTACCAGTAGCTCTCAACATGAGATCGCCCTTTTATTCAGTGATGCATAAAGCAAGATTTGAAAGTTTCAAGATTCAGAGATTTATAAATTTGAATGGTTCAAACATTTTTACTGACAGTCGAAGCTGCTGTTTGTGTTGTGGGGGAGGGAACTGATTTGCATAAAAGGCACAGAAGTGCCACTTTCAGCTTGGGAGGAGAGAGGGCTCCTGACCCCGCTGACCTCCCTGAGATGTGCCCTCTGACCCCCACTGGCCCCAGGGAACGCAGCTGTTGTCCTTCGGAGCCGGCTGAAGGTCCGGGTGGTGAAGGAACCCCGAGGGAGGAAGGTGCCCGTCCCCAACGGGCTCAGCGAGAATGGCGCACCAGCCCCAGGCCCGGCCGACAGCGGGAAGCAGGTCATGCAGTACCAGGTGAGTGGACACGCTGGGGGCCTAGGGCAAGCACTTGGGGCTGGACCCTGCGCGGGAGCCCCGGCCGCGACCTCAGGACGAGGCCCTTGCAGAGAGCCGGGGCAGACGCAGGCGCTGGGTGCCCGTGACGGTCCGAGACCCCGGCCACCCCTTCCAGGTCCTGAACGAGGTGGTGATCGACAGAGGGCCCTCCTCATACCTGTCCAACGTGGACGTCTACCTGGACGGACACCTCATCACCACAGTGCAGGGTGACGGTAAGGCCCCAGACCTACCCTGGGGTCCTGAGCGCCCCTCGGTGGGAGTGACGCCTGTGCCCTGTCCCCGCCAGGAGTGATCGTGTCCACCCCGACGGGCAGCACTGCGTACGCAGCCGCGGCCGGGGCCTCCATGATCCACCCCAACGTGCCAGCCATCATGATCACACCCATCTGCCCCCACTCGCTGTCCTTCCGGCCCATCGTGGTCCCCGCAGGGGTAGAGCTGAAGGTCAGAGCCAACACCTCCCCACCCCTCCTGGTTTGTGAGTGTCGGACCCTGCGCCAGGGAAAGGCTGGGACCTGGGCACAGCCCCGTGGTGCTGACCCGCTGGCTCCAGCCTCAGACGTGGCCTTGTTCCTGGACCGTCTCCCTGCACCCACCTCGCCGGGTGCCTGAGATCTGCCGGCTGGGGGCCCGGGCCCAGGTCAGAAACGGCTGCCCGCCCGTGCTTGTCTGCTGGCACCGTGAGCTGGGCAAGGTCGGAGCCACTGGTGCCAGGGCCTCTGGTGAACACCCACGGTTCCCTGAGGAGCACCCTCCCCAGCCCACACCTGTCCCTGCTTGAACCCTCAGATCATGCTGTCACCAGAAGCAAGGAACACCGCGTGGGTGTCCTTTGATGGACGGAAGAGACAGGAGATCCGCCACGGAGACAGGTGTGGGCTGGGGCCGGGCTGGGCAGTCCTGCCCAGGCGGTGCGTGCTGTGGGCAAAGCGTGGTCTCCTTAACGCCAGAGGCCTGAGTGGGGGCTGGGGGTCCCTTCCCTGGGTTGCAGCACAGTCAGGGGGACCCAGGCCCAGGGGCATCACCCCAGCACACGGCTGTGGTGGCTGCCCGCGGCGCACTCTGCCTGGCGGTGGTGGATCCCTGAGGCTCGCGCAGCCCCAGGCAGTTTGTCCGTTTCCCAGACCGTCCTCCAGCACCGGGCAGGCTGAGGGGAATGGGGTCGTGGCTGTCCCAGCACCCACTGGGGACCCCTCGTCCTGCCTTGGGGAGCATCACCTGGCCCCTCAGGCCTCAGAGACCTGGGGCATCGTGGCCTGGCCTGGGCTGGGCGGGCCAGCGCTGGGGGTGCCGTGGCTCTGTGGGCTCACCTGGCCGCGCGGCTTCTGTCTGGCTGCAGCATCAGCATCACTACCTCTCGCTACCCGCTGCCCTCCATCTGCGTGCGAGACCCCGTGAGCGACTGGTTTGAGAGCCTGGCCCAGTGTCTGCACTGGAACGTGAGGAAGAAGCAGGCCCACTTCCCGGAGGAAGAGGAGGGCGAGGGCTAGCCTGCGCTCCTGTCCAGACCCGGCCCACGATCCCGCGTTCTTCTGGGCTCTTCATTTTCCTTTATTGCCCTCCTGCTCGCCCTCTGGGGACAGACCAACGTGTGAGTGTGTGCGAGTGTGAGAGAGGACGTGTCCCGTCTGTCGTCTGTCGTCAATGGTCACAAGCGCCGCCTGTCCCTTGTTGGGGAAGAGCCTGGGTCTGCCTTTTATCGACCAGATCAGCTGTTTTTTAGCATTTTAAATCCGATTTCTATTTTGCATTTCTAATGGGGCAAAGTGGGAGATGGGCTGAGGGCTCCTGTGCCACACACCCCACTTGGTCCTGGAGCCAGCCGCCTGCCCCACGGCTCTGTATTAATAATTCCATGCCAGGCAATTCCACAAATCAGTCTACTGAGATTCAGAGGGTCAGAATGACTTGATCTGTCCTTTAATGTTGAAAATAAATGTCTCGGCCAAAAATCTTCCTTTAGCTGCGATGCTTCTGCCTTCGGGCACCTTTTCCCGAAACTGCTCTGGGGGAGGTTCCTAGGCCCACTGGAGGGAGTCTTGCTGTGACAGGAACGGCAGGTCGGCTGTGCTGCGGCTCTGGAGAGGGCTGGGCGTGTCCCGCCCTCCCCGTGCGGGGCCAGCATCAAGCGTGGGCTGCGGCGTGGCCCGGTGGGCAGGGGCAGGCGTCTCAGGCCACACACATTCCTCACGCAGCTTCAGCTACCAGGAAGGTATTTTAATCCTATATATACTTTTCAGAGATTCTTTTAAACTTTCTGAAGTGCTGATGTACATATTTTCTTGTACACACTTTGGCGAAAATCGAAAGGGGAAGAGGATCGTCCCGCTGCTGTTAGGTTTGTCTGCGCGACTGTCTTCGGGACCATTCTGTGCAGAGTGCAACGCGGCGGTCCGGGAGAGGCTCGGTGGCAGTGAGAGCTTGGAGACAGACGGCCGGATCTTCCGGGAGCCCGGGCTGGCGGAGAGCCTGGTGGCCCGAGTGCGAGCGGTGTGCACAGGGCTCCATGTCTGCCACCTGGGAGCGGCGCCTGGTCGTTGTCCAACAGGCGTCCAAGTGCAGGCGTCTGTTTTGAGGAAGTGCTCTCTGGGTTTTGCTCAAGAAGTCCCCCTTTCACTATTCAGTTGATAAGAACGGGCAGGGACGAGAGCCGCCCCTTCCTGGACCCGCGTCTGTCCGTTGCCCGCTCGGTGCTTCCCGGAGCCACTGGTGCAGCTTCCTTGACTGGCGTGTTTATGACGTGCAGCTCACGCCGTTTGGCCACCGCAAACACGCATCTGGGGCCGCCATGGAGCCGCGGGGGGGCGCCCAGTGTGTGTCCTGTGTCCATCTGTGACACGGGACCCCACCTGCAGCCCACAGGCTGGGGGGGGCACCAGTGTCCCCAGCCTTAAGCCAGAAGACAGTGGCACTGGGGATTCCAGTCACTCATCTGAACAGAAAGCAAATGTTAAATTAAGTCCTAAAGCAGCGTGAGATTGGACTGATCTGGAAAATTTTGAGTTTTTGAAGTAGATCTTAATGTTTCATATTGTCAGTATCTTAAAAGTTTGTTAAATGTTGAAGGCCTTATTACTATTTTCAGATCCTTTCAATAAACAGACTTGTACAAAAAGCCGGGTCGGTAATGGCTGCTTCTGGCTCTGAGTCCCTGGCCTGGAGGCCCTGGGGGGTCTCCAGGGGCCACCAGCAAGGCCGCTGCCTTCTGACACCGCCCGCCTTGCATCCTGTCCCCAAAGGCTCCATCAGGTGGGGTTGGTCAGGTGTCCTCACTGGAGGGACAGTGCGTGGTGTCAGGGCAGGGGGCACAGCTGCCTCGGCTGCAGGGCGGGAGACTGCCCAGAGCCCCGACAGGGGACGTAAACACTGAGAGGAGGGCTGGGCGGAGGCGGCCAAGCCACGGCCACCTGCCCGCGAGGGGCGTGCTGGTGACATGGGCTGCCTCACCCTGGGAAGGGCGCTGAGCCACACACCAGGCGTCTAGGTTGGGGACAGCCACAGGCCGAGGCCTGGGTGCTGTGGGCACTGGTGCGTGGGCCCCTTGGTTCCTCTTTCCCCTAGAAAGGGGAACAGCCCCAGGGCACCCACTCCTCCCTGTCTGCCCTCGGCTGGCCCCGAGCGTCCCTGCCTCCCTGGCCTGGGTGAAGACTGTTGACCTTTGAGCCGACCTTCCTGGCCTCAGGGAGCACTGACGTGAGGGTGATGGGGCCGGGGACCCCAGGGTGTCTCCAGCCCCAGCCCCGCAGGGCATCGCGTGTGGACTCAGGCCTCAGGCTATGTGGTGCTTGCTGTCTTCCCAGCCTCAGTCAGTCTTTGGAAACCGGCGTGAAGTGGCAACACCCAGTGTGGGAGCAGTGCTGGCCCCAGACTGCAGCCTGAGGGCCCTTGTGCAGGCCGCCCCCCAGCACAGCCTGGGTGTCCGGAGGCCTGTCCTGCCTGGGAGGCTCCGATGCCTGCAGCTGGAAGTCTGCAAGTCTGGCTGGGGGCACGGGGGGGATGGCAGGCCTGGGTTGGTCACCCTGTGGAGGAATTTGGCCACTTCCAGCACATTCTGCCCCCTTTCTGATCCAGGCCAGATCTCAGGCCGCCTTCAGCATCTGCAGACACTGAGGATCTGGATCTAAGGGCAGAGTCAGGCAGGAGGAAGCTGCAGCCACCGCAGGGAGGACACCTCAGCTGGGCACTGTCCTCCTGAGCCTTCCCGGCTGGGGCCTCCACAGGGTCCTCTCCAGAGGGCCCTGCAGGACACAGGCGCCAGGGCTGACCTGCCCTCAGGCCCCCATTTCCTGTGGAGGAGGCGCAGGATGCAGGCTCCAGCGCCAGGCTGGTCTGTGCAGAGCTGACAGGAGACCAGCCACACACGACACAGACACAGACTCGCCCTCACAGGCACACACGTGCTGCGGCGGCGCTGGGGGCTGTGCAGGCCAGCGCTACTCCCCACAGGGCCAGACCGGCCTCCCCGTCCTGGGCGGCTGCCTCTTGGTCCAGGTCTGAAGTTCTGCCCGCTCAGGACAGGAAGTCATCTGCCTTGTTCCTTCTCAGCGCACCAACCAGCCGGGGTGAGGCTCGAGGCACCCCTACCGCAGAGCCCAGCGCAGCCCCGACTCCTGGGGCTCTGAGCGCCATGGCTCTCATTCCTCTCAAGCCCAGTCCCGAAGCCTGGCCTCCCTCCCTCCTGTGCCCGGATCGCCTCCACTGACCACCTGCCTGCTTTCCTCCCAAAAGATCGAGCTATCCTGGCATGGTCCAGGGGCCTCAGGCAGGGCCCCTCCAGGCCTCTTCCCCACCCCTGGACCACGACCCAGACCCGATTCTCTGGGGCCCTGTCCACACCTCCCTGCTGTCCTTGATGTCCCCCAGGGAACTTCAGCCCCTCTGGGCCTGCAGGCCTCACTCTCCCCACCCAGCTGGAGCCCAGACTTGGACTGTACCTGGTGAGGGACAGTGGGGAGCCCCTGGGTCTGGGGACGGAGCAAGGCTGCAGGGCAGAGCCAGTGGGGAACACTTTCCTTTGATCCAGACCCTGTAGGAGAGACAAGGACCCACCCATGACCCTCCCACAGCACCTCCTCCAAGGAAGAGCCTGCCCTCCTGGTCAGCAGACACCAGTGGTGGGAAGGAGGTGGGCTGGGGGAGGGCTGTGCACCAGGCTGTGCTGGCCGGGTGGTGACAGAGCCTGGACGCTTGCCTGGGGGTGTCCTTAACAAGGACCGTTTGCTGGCTGAGTCCTTTCCCAGCACATACAGACACGCTCATTTACACAGAGCATACACAAAATTAAAAGATTAAGTGCAAAATAGGAAAATATTTGCAGTAACACAACAGGTTGGTGTTCGTAATATAGATAAAAACAAAACACCAATAGAAAAATTGCCAAAGGTCAGAAACTGATGATTCAAGGAAGAATACAAATAGCTAAGAAGTAAATGATAAATGATCAAACTTCGCATGTAATCAGACATTCAAAATAAAAAACATTAACACATCCCCCTCTTGGTCCAATTAGCAAAGAGGCTCAAAGTCAGACATTCAAACGTGGAAAGTTGATGAGAGTGTGGACAATCCCGGCCGGGCAATGCTCTTTCACGCAAAAATTCTACTTGGAATCCAGCCGATTCAGGTCAACGCACACGATCTCTCCATGCAGCCCTCACGGCCGCGAGGAGCAGCTCTGGCCCAGGGGCGACTTAACTCCGGTACCTTCATCTGCAGCCACTGAAATCAGCGTTTTCTAGACTAGCGGAGGCGAGCGTCGGTGACCTGAGCAAAGGCCGAGGCCCTGGTGCTGCCGCCTCTGGGCTGCGCGCTCGTGTCCGGGGCGGAGGCGTCCCGGGGGTGGGGGGGGCGGTGTCCGGGGCGGAGGCGACCCCGGGGGGCCTGGCCGGGGCGGGGAGGTGCCCGGCTCCTGGCACCATTCGGCCACCACTGAAACGCGCGGTCCCGCATGAAATGTAAGACTCCATTACAAACATTTCAAGACAATTTTTACAAATTTATTTTTAAAATTACTGGGTTACAACCGACGTGCTGAACACAAAGGGCGAGGCCTGCGGGGCCGCGGCCGAAGGAGCGGCTGGGCTAGTTTGAAGCAGGAAGCGGCGCGCACACGGCCGCCAGGTCACCGGAGGTCCCGGAGATGCGACCTCGCTGCAGATCGCGCGGGGAAGCGCTGCGCGGGGAGCGAGGTGCGCCCGGCGCCCGCTCGCCTCGAGGCGGCCCCGCCCCTGGGCGGAGCGATCCGCGGTTCGGCCAATCAGCGCGGGGACGTGGCCTCGGACGCGCAGTGGCCCCGCCCCCGAAGCCCGGGCTTGGGCGCGCCGGACGCTGCCCCGAAAGCGGGTGCGCGGCCGGGTCCCTCCGCGTCCTCTAGGCCCGGCCCACTTGGCGCATTTCCTGTTCCTGGAACGCAGCAGTCGGACGGCAGAGCCGCGGGGTCCTAGAGCCCGGCGCCTCCAGGGTGCTCGGACCGTCTTGTTCCCCCCTCGGCCGCGGTGGACCAGCCCGGGAGGCACCAACGCCGGCCGCGGGGGGGCGCTGCGTGTCCTTCTCCCCATCCGGCCGCGGTGGACCGGCCTAGAAGGTACCAACGTCGGCCGCGGCGGGGGCGCGGGCCCGGCCGCGGTGGAATAACCCGGGAGGTACCAACGGCGGCCGCGGGGGGCGCCGGTTCTGCAGCGCGCCCAGGCACCGCGGGCACCGCGGACACTTTGGAGCGGGCGCCCGCGGGGTGGCGAGGAGCTCGCTGCCGCTTCAGGCGCGTCACCTCTGGCCCCGCGGGCGCCCAGGGCAGCCCACCGGGGTCCGCCCTGCGGGAGGTGGACCGTCTGCGCCCGCCCCTGAGCTCCTGTGCTACCCTCCACGGCCCCGCGGCCCCCTGCCCGGCCCCGCAGCCTCGGGCCGCGGAGGGGCGTCTCGGGGCGCGGCCCAGGTAGGCGGCGGGGCCGGGTGCACCTGCCGACGGGGCCTCTCCGAGCGCGTTGCTCATCCAGACGCTTTTTAGAAGTTTGTTTTTTTGCACGAGCGCTATGTGCCGCACCAAACACTTAAATTTGTAAGTAGAGCAGCGTTCGGAGGGACGCTAGGGCAGGAGACGGGGAGGCTTGACGTTGAAGTCGCTCGTCCTCAGTGGGGACAAGGTGTACGCGGAGAAGCAGCCGCCGGCTCCGCGCGTCCCCTGCCCGCTGCCACCGCCGAGCCGGGCTCGGAGAGCCAGGCCTGGGACAGGCGTCCCCGTCATCGTGTCCCTGGCCGAGGTGGCGCCCAGCGCGTGGCCCCTCGTGTCTTCCCGTTTCTCAGTGTCAGAAGCGAAGCTGCTCGAACGTCCCGCGAGCGCCCTCGAGCACGGCCTTTGGGGGTCCTGAGGATGAACCCCCAGGGGTGCAGTTCTGAGCCGCAGGCAGCGCTTTGTGGGTGCCCTTGAGACACGCCTTGTCTGAAGCGCTCCGCCAGCCCGGTGGGCCCACACCTGCAATCCCGGCACTGTGGGAGGCCCAGGCGGGAGGATCGCCGGAGGCCAGGCGTTGGAGACCAACCGGGGCGACTCTACAAAAAAATAATATCTTTTAAAAACTAAAATAAAATGCCCTTCTGACCATTTGAACCAAGCTAGACTCTCTGCGCGGGTGTGAGAGCACGTCCTGAGATGTCCCTTGTAGAGCAGGGATTCGAACCGCCTGCCCATGGCCCGGAATTCAGTGGTCTTCAAAACGGGATGGGCTGAAAATGAAACTTTGTCAGCCACCTCCCGCTGAAACTTCCTCGGGTGGCTCTCGCCACTCCTGTTAAATCGGCCTCTGCCCGCTAGTCCTGAGCGCCCGGCTCTGTCCCCACATGGCGCCATCCTTCTGAGCAGCCCCTCCGGGCAGCAGAGGGGTAGGAGCAGCCTTCGGCCCAGGGAGGGGCCCGTGGGCCGCTGACCCTGTGCTGCAAGGGACGGTTATGGTTCAGCTTGACCCGGGTTCCCCTGCATCCTTGCTTTATAGCCCGGGAGGGACAGGATGACTTGGGCTCTGTCACCAGGGACCTGGGTGCGGGAGGCTGATGCTCCACGCGCCCAAGTTCAGCCCATTCTGTCCCCTTCTT